CCATATTTAAAAGGGCACCAACCAAAAACTACTGCGTAGAATTAATTGGAATTTTTCACACACAAGCCTTGCTATATGAGCTCTCAAAGCATATAAAAATTATACGGCTTAAATGTGAACTACGGTGCAAAAGAATACAATTGAATCCTGTCGGGAAAAAACGAAATGACTTTCCGAACAACCCGATAGTTCAATGTAGCCATGTAACCGGGTTATCACGGCTTGGAGCGGCATGATATGTCCTGATGCGTTCTTTCTTGGCAACCGGCAGTAAATGTTAAAAATATACATACATACACACATATATTTTAAAATATATATATTATAAAAGATTATCAAGTAGATTATATATTATTTAAACTTTCTACATGCACAATATAATTTTACAGCATCTTTTGTAGGTATGTTTATACAAACTGAATAAATTATTTGGCTTTGTGTAAATATTTTCGACCAGATTTGATAACCACATGGGCTTCTGTTTCGACATTTACCGACAAAGCTCAGGAAAGAACGCGCCAGAATGTTCTTTCACGCTGCGGATCCTGCCGACCCCGTCACAAGGAGCTTGGATTCCATGCACCAGCTAATGAGTTGAACATAAGCAGTACACCCCGCGCGTGTAACAGTCTTTTTTATACAGCAGAGCTAGATTTGTAAGCTTAAATTATTTACTGATCATCATCATAAGGTCGTCAGTCTATAGAATGTCACCTCAAGGTAGGCCTAGTGGCGTCATCTCTTGGTTAGGCCGGAAACTTATCAATCCACCCTCGTATACGTAAGTGCTGCTAAAGATGTTGCGGGCAGTCAAAGGTCACGATAAACAGTTCTTCTCGTTCAGCGTCAATGATATTGGAAAAATACTGGTTATCAAATTTATATTTAGGAAATTTCCGACAAAAAACGTAGTTTTACTTTATTTCGTAACTTTTACGAAACCCTTTTGAAATATGTTTATAACCACAAAAGAATGACTTGCACGAAAATCCAGATTTTCGCGAACTTTATCAAGGTTTGACCTTATGCTTGTCTTTATTTCCTGAACTAAAATAAATAGAAAAGAAACACGATATATCGGCTATATTTTTATTAGCGGTAATAAATATTCATTAGCGCACGAATAAATGTGATCTAATTTAGATTAGATTACTGTTCACAAAAAATTAAGGGTGTAGGATGGGAAGATAAGCTCAAGATAGGAAAAAGTGGAAGTGCGTGTCCAACCAGTCTTAGGACTGACGACCTATGATGATAATGAAAACAAAAAATTCAAGTGCAAGGGAACGCTAAAATATGAAATAGAATCTGTATTTTCGAATAAAACTGTTAATAAAATCGTAAATACATTATAAATAATTATGCGCTGTAGTCATGAAACAAAACTGGTTTGTCATACATTTCGTTTTTCTTTTTAATATTCATGCTTTTTTAAATATTCATGCCAAAGCCTTCGGAAATTGTGTTCATAATTTTCATTCACTTTTTATGTAGATAATAGTTNGGTGTTGGACCAGAACGGTCAATATATAATTTAATAAAGTATTTGTTTATTATACGAAAACTGTCTTTCATTTCCACAACAAAAAACGAAATGACTTTCCGAACAACCCTATATATTTATTATTTTAACACATGCAAAGAATTTTTTCGTTAAGATACGTACAATCTCCTTTATACAGATAATATCTAATTCAATGATTTGAGATCTACGCTCAAAAAATCTTTAACAATCCAACTTCTAGAATATTATGGTCATTTAAGTGATACAACT